TTTTTTTTTTAAAAAAATTGGTGATTTGACTCCCACCCCTTGCTGACAGGTTTGGGGGATAAAAACCCCTCTTTGGAGAAAACTGGGGAATTTCCAGGGAAATCAAAGGGTTTGGGAGTCAACTGTCTGATTATTGGGAGTTGATTAGCCAAGCCAAGCCCCTACAGACTCCCTGGGGAGTGTCCCCCAAAGCTCTCCTGATGAGAGTATTTATGTAGCTGGTGCAGGCCAAACTTGATGCAAGTCCAGCGTACAAAATTTGGCAGAGGTGCCTCTAGTGTAATTTTTAAAGGGACTTGCACAGATTGTTGAGTTTTTGGCAAGACAGCAGAAAAAAAGCTTTGGTGTATGTAGAACACCTGATTTCAGACCTACATCTCACAAACTCCCATAAGCTTTAATTTTTTTTTTTTGAGCTGGGATAGTGGCCTGAGTGAACCCACCATCCCAACATTTCCATCTACTTTAAATTTTTTGATGTTGAAGATGGATTTAGAAATTCCAAGGTTTTCAAGTTTTGGGCTGGATTACATAAGCTGAACATCAACTCAAAACCTATGTACAGTGGGTAGACAGTGAAAAGTGGCTGCTTATTTTGGATTTCAGTGCTCAAAAACACAAACTTGAAGTCATGAGACTTGATCAGGTGGTGCATGATAGGTCCCAAAAAATGAATCTGAAAAAATGAAAACAAAAAATAAAGTTTCAAAATTTGTGAAAAATAAAAAATAAAGGGCCTTAATAAAAAAACCCGCATTTTCTGTGTTTTGACGCGCTTTTGCTGCGGCACAGCACACGCGCAATCTGTGTTTACTTTTTTAATTAATTTTTTTTTGCCGTTAATTTTTTTTTTTTTTTTTTTTTTAAAAATTGTTTCCTACACTAAAAAATGTGTAGAATTTAATGGTAAAAACCATTTTCCATAAAAATGACTTTTGATTCTTAATTTTTTTCCACTTATTTTTCAGTTAATTGTTTACATACATGTTTCTACCTCATTTTTCAAGATTTTGTGTAACTTTAAAGTTGTTTCCTACATTCTTAAGTGTGTAGAAATTTATGGTGAAATCGAATTTTCATAAAAATGAATGGATCATTTTTAATAATGCAATTACACCCATTTTTTCACTTAAATTTTTAGAGCTCAATTTTCATTCTTTTTTCACATTTTAAACTTTTTTCCTACACTTTCAGACATGTATAAATTTGTGGTAAAAATTATTTTGAATCAAAGTGAGAACTACATCTTGTATACTGCATTTGACACTGTTTTTTTTATTTAATTCTTCACTTTTTCACTCAATTGTTTGCATTAATTTTTTTACCTTATTTTTTCTGCTTTTTTGAAATTTGAAAGTTGTTTCCTGCATTTCAAAGTGTTTAGAATTTACTGGTATCATTCAATTTCCATAAAACTCAACGGTTCATTCTGAATACTGTAATCAGCCTTAAAATTCAATTGATTTTTAAGAGCTTAATTTTCATGATTTTTTGACATTTTAAATCTGTTTCCTACACTTTCAGGCATGTATAGAGTTATGGTATAAATAAATTTGCATCAAAATGAAAAATGTACCTTGAATAAAGCCTTTGACATGTTTCTTTAATTAATTCTTACACACTTAATTATCCTTATTTTATGGAATTTTAAGGTAATTTCCTACACTTTGAAAGGTTTTCAAATTGTTGGCTGTATCCATTTTGCATTCAAAGAAAATTTGTATACAGTACAAATTATGCAAGAAACGGTGTACACTCTTATATTAAGATTTAAGCTTTTCGTTTGAGGCAAAATGAATTCTACCATTAAATTCTACACCCTTTTAGGTGTAAGAAATAGATTTAAAATTTCAAAAAATGATTAAAATCAAGCCGGTAAAATTTAATTAAAAAAACATCAAAAAAACCTGTCCCACGCAGTATTCATTACCAATCTTTGGTTTTTATGCAAAAAAAAATTTACCATCATTTTAGCCATGTCTTGAAGTGTGGGAAATAATTTTAAAAAGTCAAAAAAGAATGAAAATTAAGCTGTAAAAATTTAAGTGAAAAAAGTGTCTAATTTCAGTATTCAAAGTGAACAGTTGAGTTTTAGAAAATTTGGATTGTGCCATTAAATTCTGCATGTTTTAAAACCTAGGAAATAATTTTAAAACCTCAAAAAAACATAAAAAATAAAGTACATACATGCATGCAAACAATTAATTGAAAATTGAAAAATGAGTGAAAATAAAAATAAAAATCAAAAGTTATTTATAGGCAAAATGGACTTTACAATTAAATTCTACACATTTTTTAGTGTAGGAAACAATTTTAAAAAATTAAAAAAAAATAAAAATTAGGGGATTAATAAATGTACCCCCCTTTTCTGCTATCCACACCCGGTTTTTCACACCTGGTTTTCTGCTTCTACACCCGGTTTTCCCCAGCCTTTTTAATTCATTTTTTGGCAATTTTGAATATGATAAAAATCTTCTAAAATTGATCATTCTTTTTGGGTATATAAAAAATCCTCAAAAAAGAAATTTTAATTTTAATTAATCTGATTCATCAAGTTTTTTTTTTCTGCCTATGCATTTTTGAGAATTCAAAGTACATTTAAATTTATCATTGATTATGCCCAATCTTTGGGAAATCTATAAAGGACCAAATTTGATTTCATTTTGGAAATCTCAATGTTGTTGGTTTTGAGCTATAAGCAAATGGACAAAATAAGGAATATCTTGAATGGTACCATCTCTATGGAGAAGAAAAATTAAAAACTTGACAATTAATAATAAGTTTTGGTTCAACTCAAGTTTTCAAGAGTTCACAGGGTCAAAAAAAATTGGGAAAAAAATTGGTGAGAAAAATAAAAAAAATTGAAGTTCTCTTTTGAGAATTTTTTATATACCCAATAAGGAATGATCAATTTTAGAAGATTTTTTAGCATATTCAGAATTGCCAAAAAATGAAGTAAAAAGGCTGGGGAAACCGGGTGTAGAAGCAGAAAACCAGGTGTGGATAGCAGAAAAGGGGGGTACGTTTATTAATCCCCTAAAATTAATGGCAAAAAAAATTTAATTAAAAAAGCGTGTTTAAACACGGATTGCGCGTGTGCTGTGCCGCAGCAAAAGCGCGTCAAAACGCGGAAAATGCGGGTTTTTTTATTAAGGCCCAAAATAAAAATGATTTTTTTTTTCAAAAGCTTTGATATTCATTTTGGGGGAGTGGGAGCGCTGAGAGAAAGAAAGAATGGAACATGGGAAGAATGATTATAAATGAAAAAAATTGGAACCAAAAAAGGTTTGGCCAGGTTGGTTGTCCAGATTGGAGCCAAAACAGTGAATTCTAGTGCTTTACTGCAATGCGGGCTGGTGAATGACCCACTCAACAGCTGTTTGAAGCCATCTGAAAACCAGTTCTTCCAAAATTTTCATTTATAATCATTCTTCTAATATGCCAATCTTCCTTTCTCTCAGCACTTCCACTCCCCCCAAAATGAATATCAAAGCTTTTGAAAAAAATCAATTTTATTTTTTATTTTTCACAAATTTTGAAACTTTATTTTTTGTTTTCATTGTTTCATATTCATTTTTTGGGACCTATTATCCACCACCTGACCAAGTCTCATGAATTCAAGTCTGTGTCTTGGAGCTCTGGAATTCAAAATAAGCAGCCGCTTTTCACTGTCTAGCCACTGTACATGAATCAAAAAAAAACAAGCCATCTTGCTTGGTTTTCTTTTGTAGCTATATTAAGATCAACAGTACATTAAGGGTATACAAAATCAAATAGAACAAATCCAGCACATCTGAAAAAAGAACTGCTCTGTCGGTTGGGATTATCAGTGCAGGCAGGCTGCAACAGAAAAAAATAAAAACAATGAAAACAATGTGATTGAGGTTCCAGTTGAGTGCATGATCAAACATAGTCAATTTTTCCACACAAATCTCTGCTTGTTATCTCACTCAAGAAATCCAAGCCATTGGTTCATCCTGGGATATCTGCACATGGCTCTGGCTTCAGATTTCATGATAGATTAGTGATTGCGGTTACAGGACACAAGTGACAGATATCTAAGAATCGGCCAGACCGATTTTAGTGATGGCTGGTTTAAGCTAGCATACATGAATTCCGAAGAAAGGTAACTAGTTGAGATTGTCCTAGCAGCCTGGAACAACGACAGTCTTCCGAAGTAACCTTTCAGGATGCGCGGAATATTCGGGGTCGAGTGCTTCCTGTTCGAGCACCTGATAAGTGATCTGATCGTCATCATCGGCGGAAGAATCCGCCGCTGAGCGTAAAGAATACAGCCGGTATCGCCCGGGCTTGGGACTGCTAGAGGTACCAACAGCCGTAGGAGTAGTAGTAGGACTATCGTCACCCGTGTTGGAATCTCCGAGGGGAACCCAATGTTAGAAAGAGAACACGAAAAAAAAATTTGGTCGATCAGTGGCGGTGTGAACTACAGATCAAAGCTTACCAGTTTCATGAAGCCCATCAATCGTCCAAATCTGAGCAAAGAAATGACGGAAGATCTCGAGTATGTTCCTGAGATCTTCAGGATCGGCGGTCGGAGTCGACAAGGGCCATTTCTGGTTGTGATCGACACGATCGACCAGATAAATTGGCGGCGGATTCTGGAGTGGATGATGATGATGATGATGGATTGATGGTAGTCGTGTTTGGGTACAACTGAGGAAGCCTAGCAAGCGCGTAAGATCGGAGAGTGTTGGCGTCGGCCTGTTCAAGGAATCGAGAAGAACTTCATCAGAACCGGACAGCTATTAAAACAGTGTTTAGTAGTAGTATTCGCTCACAAAGAGATCAAGTAGCTTGTCAGGTCGGTTATTATTAGCCCAATCCGTGGACTCCTCATTCCACGATCCTCTTCATCATCATTAAGAGTCGGTCTCTCGACGGGTGAGTGACCCAGCTCACATAAGAGAGTCAGAAGTTGAGCTAAATCCGCACAAAATCTTGTTTTTTTTTTTTTTTTTTTTTCAGATATTTTTTTTGGGCGGCGTGGATCATCAATCCCGAGCCTTGCTATGTTAAGAATCAGTAGAGTATAAGAAGGACTTTGCCTTTCTTTGTTTTGTTTTTTGGAAGTCAATCATAGTGTTACGAGGACGACGAGAAGAGACAGACCGGAATTCGATGCGTTCGAGAAGGGTCTTGGTCAGACAGTCGGAGGACGAGTCAGTGAACAAGACCGCATCATGTTCATCGGCCAACGTATTCTGGAAAGCAGCTTGGGAGGAAGATCCGATCACTGTCACGACACAGTCAGGAGTCTCCTGGATATGTCTTTGAAGCTGGGCTATGGCAAGATGGAAGACGAATGAAAGCTGGACGAAAGGCGAGAGGATGGCGATGTTTTGAGTCGATGTTGAAGTTGCGTATGTCTTATCCAGAAGACTCCTCATGGGATGATTTGATTGATGTTGGTCCATACTCGAAAAGTTAGGCGGCCGCCAGGCATCCGAGCCTCCGAGGGTTGTAGACCATCGGCGCGTGTTATGTAAGAGCTTGCAGCTCAGTCGGTCGGGTGCGGCCCAAGCCGATCCGAGATCCGAGCTCCGGTCACCCAGGTTCACTCGAGATTGCTCTCTACTCAAAAGCAAGTCTCAAATTTCGATGGGCTCAATCACACCAGCCATTCCACAGCCCCACACAAGCGCAACAGACGACAATGAGTACTGGATGGGTTCCCCGAGAGCATTGGAATGAGCTACGATCTCTACTGGACACAAATTCTTCCACTTTTTTGAAATCCATGCATGAATTTTCATTGGAATTGAATGGATCTCAAGAACCCCTTCGCGAGAAGCCTCTCAAGAAGAAAATGGTTATATATATGAATTGAGTCTCTATCAATGGTTGATTACATATTCCCATTCGATGCTCCTCCACGTCGAAAAAACTCTCGCAGAGTAAGATGGCCATCGTATCCGACAAACAACTTCCTCAGGCCAGCATGTTCCCATAAGACGATGCCCAGCTTCCTGGAGTATTGGATGACTGAATCATACTCAGCTGCCGATTTAAAATCCTCATATAAATAACCTGTGATCGATCGAATCGTCCAGAAACAGCATAAGATTTTTTTTCTTCCTTTGAGAATGACCGAGCTTGGAATAATTAAGGAAGAAAGAGAAAAAAAACGTGTGGTAGAGAAGCGGACCTTCTTGAGCACGGATCCGATTTTTTTCAAGCTCCCATAGTCGGATTTGATCGACGACCGTCGGTGGCAAGAGTGGCTCGAGTTTCCTCATCTGAGGATGAGCATGAGTGTGCAGATACATGATCACTTGGTCGGCCGTGATCCCGTTCGACAGCGCCGACTTGATCGATTCTCTCGTCACCGCTCCTACCACCAAGTTCGGAAACCGATACCTTAACGAAAGAAATAAGTTCAACACGGCGATCTGTAATGGATTGCCTATATATTTTTTGTATATTTGTCCAGTGTGTATACCGATTCAAAAAAAAAAAATCAATCGGGTTATTGTATGATTTCCAAGCGAATCGAAAACCAAAGAAAAAGGGACAAAGCTGACTGGTGTATGCATAGATCCGATAATTAGTCTCGAGGACCAAGAACCCGTGTTCTTCTTGTGCCCTTTCGGCGGAGACCAAAGGAGGGGCTGTAGAGGTAAGAGTGGTCGCTAATCGAGTAGGGTAGAACCGATCTGGCTAACGATCAACGCTTCAGCTGAGATGGATTTTTCCCGGAGAGATTCATATACTACTATAAGAAATCCAGATGGCGATGACTAACAGCCGAAACAAGTACTAAACCGTAATCTACTAAGTCTTGTAGGACTTGTGTTTGAGTTGGAGTCCAATTAGAAAAAGAATATTCCTGTAAAACAAATCGTAAATGAGACCGTACATGTTTGAATGAATGGGAATCGGATTGGTGGAAGATGAACTGACTTGACCTAATTCCAAACTTCCCAGCATAAACAAGCAAGCCAAGACGTCAACCACATCGAGTCCATTAGCCTACGAAGCAGAAAATTCGGATCAATTTCCAAGTGTTCTTAGATGATGACGGGAACTTGTTGATGGCCTATAACATACCTCGGTCATCTTGAGATATTGGAGTAAGATATCCCACAACTGAGTGTTCACGTCTTCTAGCAGAAACCCAAACCCTTTCGAAGTGATCTTCAAACTCTGGAGCGACCTTGGATCTCTATATTTCGGTCCCCCAAAGAAAGTTAGATTTGATTTTTTGATTTTCAAAAGTTGAAATCCGTGAAACAAATGATTTACGAGGAGGTCATCAAGCCACTTTGACCCAACAAGCTGAGGATATTATGGCTCGGTTTAGTGGGTAATCGGGAGCCAACCATGTAATGAAGAATCGTCTAGAAAGAAAAACAAAGCGTTCAAAAGGAGAGGCGAAAAGACGGATTAGTTGTGAATCCAACTTGGAGAGCTCCAAGATCGAGGGAGGCAGACCTCCCATTTCTCGGTCCCATATCGATCCAGTTCGTCGATCGAAACCACCGCGTTAGACGAGGTATTACAAGGCACACCAAATGAGCAATGGTTCCCGCTTGTTGATTGTGGGGGAATGGAAGGATATCGAGATGGATATGTCAGATTCGGTGGTGCTCGACTGCTTCCGATGATTCTAGAGATATATGAGTTTGTTTGGGATGCTCACCCTCCCGTCAAAGCGCGTCGGAAGTTTTGCTGGAACGAGCGGTTTAGAGTCAGAGTAAGATGATGATGGTTCCTTGGATCATCAAAGGAAGATGATGATGAGTCGAGGGAGGATTGTTCGACGATGTTCAAGCGAAAGAGCTTCGTAAGACTATCCTCCAGGTGTCTAAAGAACCCAAGTAATCGAATCGATCATCATCATCATCATCATCAGCTTCAATAATCACAGCCACCAAATGAAAAAAAAAAAAAAAAAATCGAGCAAGAAGGAGAGACATACGTCTTGGATTCCGAATGGTTGATGTCGGCCCAAAGCTCGAGCTGGGATTTGTCGATCGAGTGATCGGACCAGAGCAGATTAAGGACGAGATGTCTAGCGATCAAGGGCAACAACCTAGAGGGCGAAAAACAAAAGATAAGTGATGAATCGATGAGACACGAGAGAGTGAGTGACCTGAAGATAGCGAGACAGC